CGGCTGCAGCGCAGAGCGACCCCGCCCCCCCTCGGCTGGCCGGCCGGCCCCGCCCCTCACATGGAGAGACCTGACAGACAGGCCGCTCCGCCAATAGGAAGGTGGCGCAGGCAGGCGGTGAACCAAGTGTATAGCTGGGCGGTGCGGCTGGGATGTGCGTGATGACGTTAAGGAGGGCGGGGCTGTACGGGGCGGGGGTACGGGGCGGAGCGGGCGCGTTTTGTTTGCGTCATCACGAAGGTGGGTACCCCCCCCCCGAGGCCGGGCGCGTGCGTACTGCTCCCTGCCTGTGAGTTATGAACCCAATAGTGCTGGGATGTGGTGGGGAGTCTCCATGGGAGGGTGCTTTCCTCCCCCCAAAACACCACATAATTGCCCCGAGGGGCTGTATCCCCCAAAACACCATATAATTGCTCTAAGGGGCTGCACTCCCCCTCCCCCAAACACGCCATATATATGTTCTGCTATGGGGATTTCCCAGGTTTTGGGGCCTTCTTGGTTGCCCCCATCCCCTCTTTCTGCTGCATGTCAGGGGGGTGCAAGCCTCCCTGAGGGGTGTTGGCTGCAGGCTGGGGACGGGGACTGGACTGTGCCAATGCTCCTGCCAGGACCAAAGCCAGAGGTTCCCGGCTAGGGGGTCTTGCCCCTGCGCTCACAGATGATGCCGTATTTGGGGTCAGAAAGGGATTGCACCCCATGGTCAGACTGGTACGGACTGGGGTGGGGGTTGCTTTCCTCCTCTGCCTGGCATCTCTTGAGTGGATAGTAACAAGCTTTTCTAGAAGCAGGACGTTGGCTGCCGTGCTTGATCCCCCTGGTTTACCTGTGGCAGGTTAGGGCGTTGTATCTTGTGTTGATAGTAGTTTTACAAAGCATTTAGATGATGAATTCGTATAGGATGGCTTGGAGAGGGATGATCCTGCCTCAGGCAGGACGTGGGACTAGATGACCTCTCCCTTCCAGCCCTGCTTTCCTGATTTCTATGAACCAGGGTGTTGTTGCACCCTGGGGTGCTTTGAGATCCTTTCAAGTGGGCTACACTGTTAGATGGGCGCATATGATTCACCCAGAGATTTCAGATAGGAACCCATAGTGTTAAACACATGCCCTGCTGTGGGCTTTCTGAGCTCTTGGCAACAGAAGAATTGCTTTATTATTTTTCTGTAGTAAAAAAAAAAAAGAGTGAAAACGAGCTGATATTTTCCAAGGGAGGCCCTCGAGCCAATTGAGCGATGCCTCAAGTCTAAAATTGGTTAAGACCTACTGCTTTAGATGTTTTGAGGAAGCACAGCGAAAGGGTTAAGCAGCTGTTTACATGTGAGCCAAGTGATGCTTACTCTGCCAGTTTGCTGACTGCAAAATAAAAGCTATAAATGTGCAGAGAGGCAAAAGCAAGGTCAGGAGGACAGTGCTGCGATGGGCGGGATGTTCCTTGGATCTGTGATCTTAAAGATTTATGAGAATGTTATTACCTGAATAAACCGAGAGATGCAAAACGGCTCATTACAACTTCCCAGTTTCAGACCAGGGATGGTGCTTTTCTACTTTAGGGACAGTAACCATCAGCAGAGCTCCCATTTATTTCTTCCATTATTAAGTCTGGGTCATTGTTGTTTTTTCAAGCATTGCTGCTTAGACTGGCCTGGTTTTGTTCAGTTCCTCGTTTGTACTCGGGCTTCGGTACTGATTATGAAACCTGAGAGGAAAACAAGCCACTTCTTTTGGAAGCTAGGAGTTTCCCCATTCTATGAATCAGCATTAGAGAGTGAAATGGTTAATTAGCAGTTTTCCCATGTAATGTTCAATAACAGTCTGATTCAGTCCTTCTACAGAAACCAGCTATATCACCTTTTTATTTTTCCCAAACACAAATATAACGGCAAATCTATTAGAATATTTAAGGCAGACAGTTCTTTTTCTTTTTTTTTTAAACATTTAACAAGAAATAAAAATATTTAGCAGCCTCTTGTATTAAAACTACAAAGTCCTCAAGATCGAGTATTCAGTAAAGTTTCTAGCAGCTCATGGAGTTCAAAGCTCAGTGCTGGCACTAGATTCTTTACTGTGACATATTTTTCCTCCGGATGGGAGAATTGAATTCACAGAACTTGGAGTCTAGGTAGTGAATGAGTGGATGGATACTCTCACTGCGTTATTGCCACTTATCATATAAGAAGTTGCATTTTGTTTCCAGGGGAGCAGGTAGATGACATGCAAAGGAATAGGTGCACTCAATGAACATATACAGGGCTTGTTTTAAACATAAATATTATCCCTTTTTAGAAAGAATCTCTGTTAACTGACTCAGCTTCAGCAAAAATCAACTACAGGAGTCCTTGTTATGGACTTGGGCATAACATCTCTGCACTTCCTTTTAACGTACCTGATCCCAGCTGTTCAGGAAAGAGGGTATAGAAGGCCATCTCCAAAGCATGCTTACTTTTTTTTCTGTATAGATAATTCTTAGGAGAGGGG